TTACGGGTAAGATTTGGAAAATACCTGCCAAGCCAAACCACCAGGACAGTGCCCGATGGAATGGCTTCCTCCTCAGCAATGACCTCCATGGTTCCTGACTGCGTGGCTGCTGAGGCTTCCTCTCCAAGACATTAACCCCCTGAAGTAGCCTGAACATGACTCTGCTCTTTACCATTTAATATAAACCAAACTCCCAGAATGGGGAACACACAGGAAAAGGAGACATCAATTAGGATACCAAGGGAGTTACAAGGCATTGAGAATGGAAACCAGTGAAATTTAGAAAGTTCCAAAAGGAAATGTATTTGACACTAAGGTTTCTAGCATGAGAAACTCAAAGGCCATAAATTTTGATTGGGACTACAGAAAAATTAGTTCCGGTGACTCTGGTTTGGACATAGGGAGCCAGAGGTTCCTACAATGAGCTCAGAGAAATCGCTAAAAACCACCTGGGCATACTTGCATGGGGCTCAGAAGAAATGCAGGGTTAGAAACACAGTTCAAAGCACTATTCTCTCTCTCGAGCTAGTTCAGTTCTTAACCTGGGACTTGTGGGAGAGGAATAAATTCAGAGCAATAAATGTTATGTGTAGATATATTTATGTGCTTTTTTCTGGGAAGAAACTCTATAATTTTTATTTGATTCTCAAAGCGGTAAGAATGTCAGCCTTCTCTTATGGTAATGTACCTCACTTTCTCTGAGGACCTCAATGAATTTCAGTTAGCAATTCTGGGTGTCTTTTTACCACCCACCCTAATCCTGTACAGTTGAGTTTGGGGAATCTAGGAACAGGATTTCACTTCTCCTCTTGTTAAAGTTCACCCTGCAAGTTCCAGTCCCACTAGTCATCAGCCACTCTTCTGCAAGTCTGGTAAGCATGTCTTACAGCACAAGTTCTCAACACCTCCAGATACTAACAAGGATTCCAGAAACCCTTACGTAAATCTGCACTTATTATTCATGATTTCTTTTTTTGTTGTTTTGGGGTTTTTTTTTGGTGCACCATTCCCAGAGGTATTGCAATACTGGGTCAATGTGTGGAGTGGACAGAGCAAACTCCTAATCCATATTCCTATCCAAAAAATACATATACATATACATATGTGTGTGCATATATATATATATATATATACACACACACACACACACACACACATATATATATATATATACACACACACACATATATATATATATGGCTAATATGCAAAGTGTCTGCTCAAGAATTAGACTGAGAGACAAGGAGTTTGATCACTCCCTATGTATTGCGCTGACCACCAAGGGACAGCGCAGAACATGGCGGGCAACCAGCAGCTCTGGCCAGGCACTGAGGGAGTGAGGAGTGAGGAAAGGGGGAGGCAAGGGGAACCATGTGGTGGTGGTGGAGGCACTCTGGTGGTGAGGGAAGGAGGAGGCAGGGAGGGAGGGAATCTAATCTACCGATTCCAGGCCAGGCCTAGGGACCCTACCCATGCACGAATTTCATGCATTGGGCCTCTAGTTTAATATAGTATCATCAGATAGAGGATGTATCAGATACTAAACTGATAAGAACAGATATTACACTTGATCTTAGCCAAAAAGCCGAGAAGAGAGTCATGCTTTCTAACAAGTCTCTTGTCAGTACATTTCAATCCAGTGCTTCCTTAGGTCGCAGACACTAAAGCTCCTTATACAAAGTAAGCTCAGCTCTGGCCAGGGTGGCTCAGGCGGTTGGGCTGTCATCCCCAGCACCGAAGGGTTGTAGGTTCAATTCCCGTCAGGGCACATACCCTTGCTATAGGTTCGATCCCCATCAATGTTTCTCTCCCTCCCTCTCTCTCAACAGAAAACATAACATGTGACGATATGACATTTCACAGAATAAGTGATTCACAAATCATATTATAAGAAAAGAAAAAAAAAAAGAAAAGAAAACTGGAGAACTTTTACAAAAGCCAACACTCCACCAAAACTCAAAAGAGAGGATATTTTTATTTCACTTCAAGTAGGCAAGAAGCAGTTCTCTGACACAATCTTAAGTTCATACTGAATCTGTCCCAGGTCACATGTTTCATGTCAACCTACCTTGTAAGGCCAAAGGAATAGCTTCCACCTGGATTTTGGTGGGCTTTGTCCACCCCAACTGGTCGCAAGCTTCGCACAACACATCGGTCACACCCTTGGAATTAAAAATAAAAAATACACACACTTTAGCAAAGAGCAGCACACACTCCCTTCCCCCACCCTCATCCAATGGCTGTCAGAGCCACCGGCTGGCATCGTGGGCACGGGTCCCTTACATCTCATTCAAAGGGCATCTAGCGCTCCTTCTATGGACTACTGCTCACCAGGGACAAAGCCAAGCTCTTGACACCTGTTATTCCATTTAATCCTCATAATGCTAGGAGGTGCTTCCCCAACTTGCTGATGTCGAAAGGAGGCACAGAGACGTAACAAGTTGCTCTAGGGCAGTGGTCGGCAAACTCATTAGTCAACAGAGCCAAATATCAACAGTACAACAATTGGAATTTCTTTGGAGAGCCAATTATTTTTTTTTAACTTAAACTTCTTCCAACGCCACTTCTTCAAGATAGACTCGCCCAGGCCGTGGTCTTTTGTGGAAGGGTCACACTCAATGGGGCAAAGAGCCACATGTGGCTCGCGAGCCGCAGTTTGCCGACCACGTCCCTAGGGAAAGGCTGGGTCAGGATTCGAATGCGGTTCTTCTTACTCCAAAGCCCAAACGAAGCCTCATCAAAGTGGAGAAAAGCGCCAACGGGGCTCTCACTTGGGCCTTCCCCCCATGACCAAACCCAGACGGTGAGGGAGCGCGTCCGGACCCCGAGCTTCAGAAATTCGGGGGGACACCTAAGCTAGGCCCCGCTGCTCCTGTTCCCCACCAGCCGAGATCGAAGGCGACTGGCCTCTGCCTGCGCCTGGCGCCAGCAGGACGGAGAGGAACCACCCTCACCAGGTCTTTAAACGTTTTCGTTTCCTCCTCCTCTTCCACGGCCGGCTGGGGCGCTTCGGTAAAGGAGCCGGGTTCTTCGGGCGCCGCCATGCTGTCCGGCGGCTCCGGAAGTGGGGCGGCGGCGCACGGGATGCTGGTTAATGTAGTTTGTCGTTCCCCCGACTGCGTGTTCTGGGCGCCGCCCTGCGGCCATGCCGGGTTTTGCATCAGCAAACCGGAGGGGTGTGGCTTTTCGCGGAAACCCAGCGGAAAAGTTAGGAATGAGTGTGGACTTGAGGAACTGAACCGAGTATGGAAGGGGCCGATGACCAGGGCCTCCAATATGCCCTTCAGATCCCCACCCAGGATACTTCTTACTTTTCTTTTTTTTTATATATATATATATATTTTATTGATTTTGTACAGAGAGGAAGGGAGAGAGATAGAGAGTTAGAAACATCGATGAGAGTCATCGATCAGTTGCCTCTTGCACACCCCCTACTGGGGATATGCCCGCAACCAAGGTACATGCCCTTGACCGGAATCGAACCCAGGTGCCTTCAGTCCCTAAGCCGACGCTCTATCCATTGAGCTAAACCGGTCCTGGCTCCTTACTTTTCTAACCATAGAGTTTTAAACAGGTTGATATCACAGTACTATTTATTATAATTATTATTGCATTTCTTTATTAAAAAATTTGTTGAGTGCCTACCATATACTAGGGCTACGTGATATGCTTAGTGACAAAGGCAGCACCCTTTACCCTCATGGAGAAGACAGATAATAAATAAGTGACACAGCCCTGGCTGATTTGGGTCAAGGGTCCTGGGTTCGATTTTAGTCAAGGGCACATGGCAGGGGGGGGAGGGGGGGGGCGGTCGGTTAAGAGAAGAGGATTGAAGGCTCAATCCCCAGTAGGGGTGTGCAGGAGGCAGGAATCAAGGATTCTCATCATTGATGTTTCGATCTCTCTCTCCCTCTCCCTTCTTCTCTGAAATCAATAAAAATATATATTTTTAAAAATAAATAAATAACTCATCACAGATTCTTTCAAATTGTGGATTAACTATTAACCAGTTAATAATTCCAATTGGCCATTACCAGTTAGTAGTAATGCAGATTTTGTGATCCAAAGAAAACAAGGTAATTTCTGGAGAAACATCAAAAGTGCTTTATTCAAAGTAATGTCCATCGCTAGCTACCCATTTCCCCCATCTTTCAGGTAATTTGTGGATACGGTCCCAATAGAACTTTCCTTGTTTCGAGGCAAACCATTCAGAGACCCAGTTTTCCACTTCTTCGTACGTTTTGAAGTGCTGCTCAGACAGTGCGTGTGCCATCAATCGGAACAAGTGGTCACCTGAAGGAGCAAGGTTTTGGTGAGTTCAACATCTGCCAAAAAGAAAGGAGTCCAAGAAACACCCCAGGCTTGAAATGATACTCTTAGAAGACATCACCCTAGGAAAGAGTGTGATATACAGGTGGGTCAACTGTAAAACCAGCCCACTACTTCAGATCTCCCCATCCCTCTTGGGACCCAGGGGTGGAGCACATGACCTAGAATAAGCCAACTGGTGAATGTCTCTCATCCTCTCTATTACAATGATTGGTTCAACAGTGTGCACAATGTCCTAGTAAGGCTAATCAAGGCCAGCAAGACTTAATTCTGGGACTTCTGCTTGAACTATCAGTTAAATGTGCTTCTCTTCTCTCTCATGCTAGACTTGGTATGCTGATGAGCCTAAAGCTGCCAAGGCCTACCATATAGAACCTAAAGTATGTAGCAAAAATTGTGAAGAGACAGAAAAGAAAGAGTAAAAATCTAAGATCTGACATCACTCTTTGTCTTATTCCAGACCACAGCAGAATTCCCCAGGGTTTTTGCCTGGAGCAAAAAAGTTAACATCCCCACCTTCTGTCAATTTAACAAGGAGAGATTTATTGCAATTAACTAAATGGATGCTTGTTAAGACAGGAACACATTGCAACAGCAAAAACACGATCCCAGCCTGTGGCTGGCTTTGCAAACAGTCAGGGTCTTGCCAACACAGCCTTTTTGTTGTTGTTGTTGCACACCCACTAACAGTACAGCATCTGGACCCGGGCATGTCTCCCTGGTGGGGAGACTCAGGCTGGCTGGCACTCTGATAGGGAGACCACCATCCAAAAGCTCTTGGCTGACTCTGGCAACCACTACAGGCTCTCTGAATGGATTGCTGGACCCCCTGTCCTATGTCCACCTTCCTTTCTAACAGAATCTAGGTATATTGGGATCCGCCAATTCTTAGCTAAAAATTATTACATTTCCCTCGCACGGTCAAGATCACTGACTTGTAAGGTGACGTTGTCTGGAGATTTGTGGGGAAATTTTGCCTCCTGGGAAAAACTGCTGGAAGTCTGATTTCTAGGGAATACGAATATTCCTGTACGTGAGTTAACTGCTTTTTAAAAGTTGATTTACACAGTTTGAAACTGAATATTCTACATGAAAGTGATTAAATATCTGCCCTTTTTCAGTTATTAATTCGTACCCAGGTGAACATGAGATCAGGTGACTAATCACAGAGATCAAAACATTTGAGGAACGGACAGTTTATTTCAATAGGAGAAAGAACTAATTTTGCTACAGTGAAAAAAACACACCACTGCATTTGAATCCCTCTTTATCTCTGTAGTGTCTTTATCTCCATGTCTCAATTCCCTCTTTCTTTTCACACCAAGGCATTGAATGAGAACTATATCAAGTTGACTGATTGTTTGACATATCTGATTTAAAGTGGCTTCTACACCACTCTCTACCTCTTTTTATTCCCAGTACACACTTTTGACTTTGACAGTCTCCATATTGGAAATGACAGATGTCTTAGGGCAAATGCATCAAAGCAATTAGGATCAGCATGTTTGCTAAGGGTTGTTTTTCAATAGAGCAGAATGCAGTTTCCTTGAATCCCCTTTATTGTGAAAGAGAACCATTCAAATGATTGTAAACCCCAGAAACTACCAGCAGTTAAGCCTTTAGTACAAACATATTTATTTTTCAAACTCAGGACTTTTTCTGGAGTATGCTTGTGACCTAAATAACCCTTTCCCTCCTTCTCGTTACAACATACCATTTCAATCTGTTTGTTTGTAGAATGTCGGCCATAAGGAAAAGCCTTATTCACATTTCCACAAAAGAAATAAACATTTGTCTCTAGCATCCATTGAACTGAACTTGACTAAATCCTGATAGAAGCTCCAGTCTTTATAACAGGCATGGAGAGGATGGATAGTCTTTTATCATAAATAAATTCCTATTAAAACCGCTAAGCAAATTCATTAAATTATTCAAATGCATTTGAATAATTATTATTCAAAGTGTCGTTCCAAAGTAGACACTCTTCCTTAGATGTAAAATGGGCCACTGAAATGATACTTCAAGAGCCTAGAGCTCTGATACAGTCAAAATACCCTACTGATAGGAAATGTTCGCTGCTGCTGCCAAAAGCGCCCCATAGATTTCTAGGGAACAGCTCAGGCATTGGAAGAATATAATCCAAACTTAAGCATTCATAGAAGATGGCGTTAGGGAGTGGCTGTACCTTTATGACATACCTAGCACAAATGACAACATGAAGTACATTCCGGTGAGCCAAAATGCTAGCATCTGTGCAGGGTTGTCTAGGAAACCAGTGCCAACTTGAAAACAAACCAGGATACACATCGGTTGAAATTTATAGGAAAAAATTAAAATTTAGAACCACCAACCACCTCGCCCCAGCATTGACATTGTACTTCCTCAGACACACTGCCATCGTTGGGAACCTTGGGAGAAAACGGAGCCAATTAAAAGCCTGCTAAATCCTGAACTAATACAGCCACGTTCTTGTGTGTGTAGTCTCAAAGACTTTTCAACATTACAGTTGTAGGAGTGGAAAGTGAATAAATCATATTTTCCAAGAGACAGTTTATAGACTTTTTACAATGTGAAAATATGACACATCGCCACCATAACACAAGCTATTTTGTTTATAACCCATAAGACGTTACAAGACATCAGGTTTCCAAGGTCTAAGTGCTTCTTTCACATGCCTTTGTCTTGTTTCCCTCCCAAAAAGTAATTCAGAGCCCAGGGCTAAACAGATTCTCCTTTCAGCTCAAGTGTTACCTGCTGGCAAAGTACCTTCAGGTTAAATATGCCTGCATCATTTCCACCTCCTGCAAGTCAAGCCTCTATTGATAAGCTTAAAACTCAGCTCTGGGTCTGTCTATTCAGAGCGTCCCACTTTTATTTCACGTGGGAAGAGAGAAGTATTCCAGGAGAACTCAGAAAGTCAAACTCCACCTCATCTCCAGAAAAGAGCCTCAAGTCTCCCAGTCACTTGCTATTCTTATTATTTCCTAAATGTGATGATTAAATAAAATTACATGCAAATAATAAAAAGTAAATAAATTAAAAAAACTAAAATAAATTAAAAATCACATGGTCTAGCAGTTTTCAGAGAAGGTACTAAAGATCCATTTCCAATAAATTCACATTCCTTTCTGTACCAGTTTCTACAATGAGTGGGCAACACTGCCCTCTAAAGGGCTTACTGTTTTTACATCCCTTAGCTAACACGATGGCAAGGTGCCCCGGATGCATGCATTGATGGATGCACACACATTCTTTTACTTCTGGGACACGGTCTGTCCTTGACCTTCAGGGAATGGCTCTGAAGACCACGGAGCTCCTAGAGAGGCCCTGATGTTCTATGAAAGCGCACTGAGGAGATGAGAAACGAACATCTGTTGTAGTGGTTTTCAAACCTTAGTGGGCATCAGAATCACCCTGAGGGCTTGTTTAAATGCACCTCCAGAGTTTCTGATTCCCTAAGTCAGCGGCTGAGTCCAAGAACTGGCCTTTCTAACAAGGTCCCCGGTGATGCCGATCCTGCCAGTCCAGAGGCTGCTCCTCAGGAGCCAGACACTGTGCTGGGCACTTCATCTCGCGTCAGACTCACAACAGAGTGAGGGCTTAGCATCTCTCTCTGGCTGACCAGGAAGCCAAGTCTCAAAGAGACCAAGTGGCCACCATCGCACAGTAGTGACAGGGTACCTAATAAACCCAGGGCTGTCTAACTCAAAGCCACCGCTCTCTTCTGTACACGCGGAAGTCAGTAAATGAAGCTGCAAGTCGCTTCGTCTTCCGTGGCCTCAGCCGCTGCTTCCTGCCAGGGACAGCACTTGGAGGTGGGATGGTTTCCCCTCTCAGAGCCTGAATAGGAAGCCACCCGGGAAGGTCCACTCCATCCCCAAGCTGGACCTGTGAGTGGATGAGCTGAGAAGAGAGGGGTGGGGAGGGAGGTGGCATGTCAGAGGGAGGGGCCTCTCTCGGATCCTGAACCCTCCTACACTGTTCAGAAGCAGGTCACTTTGCACTGGATTCTGGAGGTCTTTTGTACTCAGAAACTCTGGAAGAGAGGCTTTCAAGCTTGTGTCTCCCCACTAAGGCCTTCCTTCTGAGGACCTCCAAGCCAAGTAAGAGCTTTAGAAAGGACCCAAAGGATGGCCATGTCTCTGCACCCTCTCCAGCCTTAGCTCAGACCACCAGGGCAGGGGCAGGGGCCACCCAACCACTTAAAACCCGAGTGCCCAGGAATGTGAAGACTGGGTGGTTCTGATCAAGGAAAAAAAAAATAGTGTTCAGGTCACATCATTCCACTAGGGATCGCTCAATAAAGCAGTCCTCAGCAGAATGTTCACGGTGCTGGGGGGAAAGAAGGGCCTCGAGGACCCTTCACGTCAAGCACAGTTTCTCCTCATTCTTTGCACTCAGAGGGAGCCACCAAGCCAGAGCATCCCCCCCAGGGTTTTTTTGGGGGGGCGGGGGGGGTGTCTCTGGCCTCGGTCCTTAGGAGAAAGGATGTTCTCTGAACCACAGCGCCGAGGGCTGGTCCGCAGCGATCCTGAGGTCGCGGTCCCGTCGTCTGGCCTTGGTGCGCAGCCGGACGGTGGCCTCCAGCTGCTCGCTGAGTTCGTCCAGGGCCCCCGTGCAGGCCTCGAGGCTCTCGGCCAGCTTCTGCACCTTGGCCTTGAGCACGGCCTGGCTCACCTTGGCGGCGCCCTCGGCCCGCCGGAGGACGAGGAAGCCGCGGGAGCCGAAGAAGACCATGAAGTAGACGGCGTTGTACAGGGCCATGGAGGCGCTCCTCCCGCTCTGCAGCAGCCGGCGGTCGCCGCGGCCCTGCCAGCGGCAGAAGAACTCGAGGCAGCTCAGCAGCTCGCGCATCTGGTCCTGGCAGGCGGCCGCGATCTCCTGCACGCGGCGCACCTCCGGGGCGTGGCGGACGATCAGGGACAGGTCGGACGTGACGGTGACGGCGCCCCCGGCCGTGGCCACCCCGAGCCCCACGGCCGACGCCAGCAGCGAGGCGCCCAGGGTGAGCGGGCTGAGCGACAGCCCCACCAGCGCGGTGACGGCGCCCGCGGCGCTCAGCGCGCTGCCGGCCACGCGGGCCGCCTGGGAGCGTCTGCGCAGGCGCTGCAGGCGCCGGGCCGCCTCGCGCAGGCGCAGCAGCTGGCCGTGCAGCCGGCCGCGGCGGTCGAGCAGCAGCCCCTGGAAGCGCCGCAGCGCCTCGGCGCCCTGCAGCTCCCCGGCCGCCGGCCGCTCCATGCCCTGCGGGGACACGGACACGCACATTATTCCGGAGTCTCCGCGACCCACCGCGGCCCCCACACGCTAGGGGGGCAGTCGGCCAAAGCTAAGCATAGCATAATAAGGGGACCGGACGCCCCGCTTTTGGCGGGACAGTCCCGATTTTTAACCATTTGTCCCGCGTTCCGCGGCGTTTTAAAAAAGTCTCGATTTTTAGAAAGATTGACGTCTGGTCACTTGAGCATAGCAGCCACTGCCATAAGGGCAAAGGGGTCCCTTTCCAGCCAGCCATGCGCCCAGTTCCCAAAGAGCAGTGCTGTGTTGCCAAAACCGGTTTGGCTCAGTGGATACAGCATCGGCTGAAAAGTCCCAGGTTCGATTCCCGTCAAAGGCATGTACCTTGGTTGCGGGCATATCCCCAGTAGGGGTTGTGCTAGAGGCAGCTAATCAATGATTCTCTCTCATCGATGTTTCAAACTCTCTATCCCTCTCTCTTCCTCTCTGTAAAAAAAATCAATAAAATATATTTTTAAAAAAGAGCAGTGCTGTGATCTGGGGCAGGTCGCCCAAGTTCTCAGGACCTTGAATCCGCATGTGCAACGAGGACCAAAGCTGTCCTCTGCTTTTCCCCCCAGGAACACTAAGGATGGACTTCACTAGTTATTTATTACATAAGATGAAAATGCCATAGGAGCCTAACCAGTGGTCAAGGACAATAGAGGGGTGGGGGCATGAGTGAGAAGGGGGGGCGGGATGAGGACAAATATGTGATACCGTAATCAATATAGAAATTTCAAAAAGAAAAAAAGAAGAAAATGCCGTGAGGAGAGGAGGAGCCTTCTAACATCTGCAACACTAGGGCCTCTGCTCTGTCGGGAAGACAATATTTTACAAGCAGGAGGTTGTGCCTGCTTACAAAGTCCTTTTGTCATATGAAGACGTGGCTCATAAGAGTTGTAATATAGTCTCCCCCACCCCAACAAGTCACCAAAAACTCAAAAATCACATTATTTATCAAGTGTAAGAAACAAATCTTTCTAAGTTATATGGTTGCCTGGGGCAACGGTTCTGCTTGTTATTCTTCCAGGCTGTTATCTTAGAATTAAGCCTCAGATGTGGCTTTTGCTGTTTATTCTAGGGAGAGCTCATCAGGTCTCGCTCTTTGATGGGTGCTTAGTTAAAACTAAATTAAATTAATACCACTCTATCTCTACTATGAAAGCTGCCTTTTAAAAAATGAACAGCAGTTGGCCCGGCTAGTGTTGCTCAGTGGTTGAGCGTCAACCTATGAACCAAGAGGTCACGGTTAGATTCTGCCAGTTGTGAGCTCAATCCCGTGTGGGGAGTGCAGGAGGCAGTCAATCAATGATTTTTCTCTCATCATTGATGTTTTTATCTCTCTCATTCCCCCTTCCTCTCTGAAATCAATAATTTTTTTAATGAATAACGGTTGAATAAAATAGTCACCCAACACAAATTTTTTTAACAACTCACTGAGGGCAGACCTTGCACCAAAATGAATGGAAGCCAATTACAGATGACTAACAAAGAGACAGACTGTACCCTCTGGGGTAAAAGTACATCCTTGCTAGTTGCCACCACCACCCCCCCTTCGTATCCACTGTACTCATCATTATCAGGAACTTCTTTAAAGTGGCAAATAAGACACAGGAATGGAGTGTTCCGATCCTGTGAGATAATCAGGGCAGAGATGTTTTCCTCATGAAGAAATCGAAAGAGTCAGATTCTAGATGCAGCCAGTCCTTCACAGAGCCCCGTCTAGAATCTTAATCTCCTGACTCTTGCAAGGTCTGAATTTTACTTGTATGCCTCCATAATTCCACCCACCAGGGATAAATTTCCAGGGAAAGACATCTCTTTGCAAAGTGGGGGAAAAGTCACTTAAAATATATAACGGACCAGGGACAGAAGAGCCCAGTATGACAAGTCCAATGGCAGTGTTTCAGGTAGTGTCCCGCTAGGCTCCCCACTTACCATTCGCCTCTGGCTACCTCCGGGAAGAGGAATCGGAGGCTGTTTCTGGATGAGCACGCTTTATAGTTCACGAGAGCCAATGGCTGCCCTGGGAAAGCCTTGTCTCACCCTGAGAATTGCCTTTTCCTGTCCTGGCCCCTGCTGCCTTCACCCAGAAGGATGTGACATGGTGGAAAATGACCTGCCAGCCTCACAGCACATCCCGTATTTAGGAAGTGAACATTGTGTGTTCGCTTTCCCCCAAACAGCAGGAAAAGAACAGCAGGCTCTTCCTCAACTTGAAACAGAGTGTGTCATTCTCCCAGGAGGGTATACGCGGCCTTTCCTCTCCTGAGAATAGCTAATGACGTGATCTGGGAGGACATCAAACGCACCCCAGGCTGACCAATTATAGTGTTTCTTAAGAGGCCATAATTCCAAAATCATTTTTTTTTAAAGGGGGCGGGGGGGGGAGAGGGCAGGAACCGTTATGTTTGAGATAGCCACTTACAGTCCACGCCTGTATTATAAAAAGCTATGTGAATCTGAGAGTGGTTGAAAAATGTGATCCAATAAGCATGAAGCCTTAAAAAAAAAAAAAAAAAAAAAAAAAAAAAAAAGCAACCACAAGGCCACACCCGGAGGAAGTGCTGCGTGCAGTTCTGGGCATCTCCAGCTGGGAGAAGATATCGGAGGTCTCAGAAAGGTCACGCTGCAGGCCGAATGCGTCAGAAAACGATCTGTGGGGTCAGGCTGCACAAGGAGCTAATTATATACTCTCAACAGCAGCAGGGATTCAGCTTCCCGGGTTTTCATTGGAAGTAGCCATTGTTAGTCAGTGCAATAGTTAAATGAATGGGTTCTATCTCCAGGCTCGTGAAGCATGCCTGGAAGGGCAGTTGTCGGAATCATTCAGGAGGAAAAGGGGAGTACGGCATCTGTGGGTGCCTCCTGCTGGTTGGAGCTCAGCCTGACGGCCTCCGACCACAGGACCCCAAATGTATTAATCCTTCTTCTAACACTCGCACCTTAAAATAAGGAAGGCCATATTGGATTCTCCCTTAAATGATTATCGTCTCAACTCTCTGGTTCATCTGGACAGTCTTAACAGCCATATCTTTCTGGAACACAATGGACTTCGCCACCTTCGTAACTATGCTTTGTCTTTATCAATACAACGCCATTTGTTACCACTCACCACAGTCCTTTTGAACTTGACTTTTTTGAATCTTTGGTCCAGATGCAAATATTCTGGTTATAGCCGAAACCGGTTTGGCTCAGTGGTAGGGCGTCGGTCTGCGGACAGAAAGGTCCCGGGTTCGATTCCGGTCAAGGGCATATACCTTGGTTGTGGACACATCCCCAGCAGGGGGTGTGCAAGAGGCAGCTGGTCAATGTTTCTCTCTCATCGACGTTTCTAGCTCTCTATCTCTCTCCCTTCCTATCTGTAAAATATCAATAAAATATATTTAAAAAAATATTCTGGTTATAGTTCCTCAAAGGGTAAATATAACCTTAGTCAAGATGCCTTCAGTATCTGCCTGAGTTTTTTTTTTTTTTTTTAATATATTTTTATTGATTTCAGAGAGGAAGGAAGAGGGAGAGAGAGATAGAAACATCAATGATGACAGAGAGTCATTGGTTGGCTGCCTCCTGCACAACCCCACTGTGGATCGAGCCCACAACCCAAGTATGTGTCCTTGACCGGAATCGAACCTGGGACCCTTCTGCCCACTGGCCGATGCTCTATCCACTGAGCAAAACCGGGTAGGGCTGCCTGAGCTTTTGAATTAAGAGGTGGAAAAATGTGTCCCCATAGACATTAACACTCCAAATGAAATATAAGCCAGGTCTAATCAAGAGTAGGGAGGCGGTGGGCAAAAAGAAGAGTACGCTGATTTTTCAATTCCCTAGTGCAAGAAGGAAGAGGGAGAGAGCTCTTTAAGTACAGGGATCTCCAAACTCCAACCCTGGAGAGTCTGAATCAGCAGATCTGGTATCTGGCAAGTGCAGGGGATTCTCACCTCAGCCAGATACTCACTGACCACTAGTGACACAGCAGCAGAAATAGTATGGCTGGTAGAGAGCAGTTTGTTAAGTAGGTGTTGATTCATTGTGGGCCCTCGTTAAAACGACCACGTGCTAAAGATAAAGTGAAAATCCCCATCAGGGCCTCCCAGAGATGTAGAGAAGCCTAGGCCACGTCTATTTGTTGAGGCTCTTGGTGAATAAAAATAAATTCTAAGACAAGATATGAAAATGTGTGGTTTATATCTTTTAATTACAACATAATATCAATACATTTTGCAATGTTAATATTTTGTTACTCACCAGATAATCACAGGATCTATAAAATATTAATCCATAGTGCACTACAATGGTAATCTGAGACAAATTTAGAGAATGATGATGACCTTTTCCTTTTAATCTTTATCAGTATAGTCTCAGGGACTATACACAGGATTCCTTTTGGAGACAACATCAAAAGTATAAAATCAAGACAATTTATAAATGTGGGGTTTCATTCACAAAGGCCAAAGGTCTCCCAGACTTTTCCTTGTAATAGATCCTAATACATACAGGCACTCAAATAAATGAAAATGAAAATAATAGCACATATCCACCTGAGGGTGTCCCATGTGTTTGTGCATATATATATATATATATATATATATATATATATATCACAAGACTGCAACTCTTCTAGCACATCATTAAGCTCTCAGAATTGCTTGTTGAATAAAACTAAAGAAAGGTATTTTGTTCTCTTAAAGAAGTGGCACTGTTTTCATAATAACTTGATGAGAATTTGGCATAAAATTATCTCTTGGAAAATACAGCCTGGTAGGTAAGTTAGAGCTCTTATTCTGCAGGGGACTTCCAGGATATCTATGTTGCATGACATCTCAACTATGATTGTCACAAATTCATGGCACTACGAATATTTAAAAAAGACCCAGTGAACACTGAACTCCAGCTATCTTCTTTTCTTGGCCTGTGACCTTTGATAATGTACACACACATCCTTAACCACTAGTGTTTAAATACTGCTCTGTGTTCTTTTTTCCACTTAACGTTCCTGCAGATACACACTTCTCTGTTGACATAGTCCTCACCTCTGTCATTTTTAATAGCTATGTAATAATCCCGTTGTTTGTTTAGTCACCTCCCTATTAGACACTTGGATTGCTTCCAATTTTTTTTTTTTCTTCACTAGTATAACTAGAGGTGCCAGGAACATCTGCGTAAATTTCCCCTCTTTGGATTTTTCTTTGGGGAATATTCACATATGGAAAAAATACCAGGTGAAGAAGAGTGAATTTTTTAAAAAAATTTTTATTTTAAAGGAAGGGGGAGAGAGAGAGAGAGAGAGAGAGAGAGAGAGAGAGAGAGAGAGAGAGTGGGAGAGAAACATGGTTTGGTTGCCTCCCGAACAGGCCCCAACCCAGGATCAAACCCGGAACCTGGGTATGTGCTCTTAACTGGGAATCAAACTGCCACCTTTTGGGGTATGTTCCAACCAACTGAGCCACATGGGCTAGGGTGAGAATGAACATTTGCATGGCTTTTGTTCCACGTTGCTATAATCACTGCTTCATCATAAAATTTTTACTTTTTTAACATATATTTTTATTGATTCCAGAGAGAAAGGGAGAGGAAGAGAGAGATAGAAACATCAATGATGAGAGAGAATCATTGATTGGCTGTCTCCTGCATGCCCTACACTGGGGATCGAGACTGCAACCTGGTATGTGCCCTGACTGGGAATTGAACCGTGACCTCCTGGTTCATAGGTCAACACCAGCTTGGCAAGGTTTTTATTTATTTAAACAAATCCAAAGTTGAATGATCAAGCATTACAAAATAATTTGGGCCATGGAGTCAAGCAACCCAAGACTGGGCTTTCACTTTATCCCCACTAAATGGCCTGTGGAGGTGAGGAGGGAGGAGACAGGCAAGATGAGATGGCATTCTGGTCCTATCAGAGGAGTCTACATGGTCATGGGAAGGGGCAGACCAGCATTGGGACTGGAAGAGGGGAGGTATCCACAGAAGGTGGGGATTTGGGTTCAAGCTATGTCTTCTCATAGTTTTCCAGAGCCTCCATTCCTCCACTCTGGCCATTTTCTTCTTCATTGGAGTCCAAAGCCAAGTGCCCTCTGGTAATGACAGGGCTGCCCAGAGCTGGAGGACACATCCTTCTGCTCTGAGGCGGACAAGTCACCTGGGTTCTCCTTCATAGCTTTCCACCCCGGGGTCTGGGATGGACGCCTAGACTTTCCAGCTGCTTTCGTGCCTGCATCACCTGTTGGAACTATTATGTGTGTCCCTTGTTTTTTCCTGTACCTCGTGGGCCTGGGCTTTCTGAGACGATCCTCAGAGACGATCCTCAGATCCTGCTCTGCAGCTTTGGGGTCCCGCAGACAGCAGGTCCAGACACGGGAAGTGGAGATACGAGGCGTTCAGAACGTGGACCGCACAAAGGCCCTGGAGGATCAGCTCCACCACCACCTTGGCCTTGAGGCCCAGACACAGGCGCTCCTGGTGGTGGTAGCGAACCAAGCCAGGAGCGGCAGCGCGCAGGGATCGCAGAAACTCCAAAAACTTGCGGAAAATATCCCAGGTAGCGTCCGTGCAGGACTCTCCAGCAGGGCAGCGGAGCTGGCACCCGGGGGATCAACCATGGCAGGACTTCAGTTCTTTTCCAAGATTTTTTTTTTTAAGTATGGTTTGTATTTTATTTTATTTTTTAATATATTTTTTATTGATTTTTTTTTTTTTTTTTTTTTTTTTTTTTTTACAGAGAGGTAGAGAGAGCTAGAAACATAGCTCAGAGAGAGAATCATCGATCAACTGCCTCCTGCACACCCCCTACTGGAGATGTGCCTGCAACCAAGGTACATGCCCTTGACCAGAATTGAACCTGTGACCCTTCAGTCTGCAGGCTAACACTCTATCCACTGAGCCAAACCAGTTTCTGCTCCAAGATTTTTATTTTTTAAGGGAGACTCGACCTTTTCTGGAAAAAAAAGAAAATAAAAAGTATATTCTTTTGGACAAAGATGACACTGGAAGCTCTTCCATTGTCCCAGTCTCCCTATATGATCAACTGAGGCCAGTTTAGGTTTATTCTATGTCCTCCTCCGCAGGTGTGCACACCTGCCCAGAATACATGGGATCACGTGGATGACACATACATCTCGTCATTAGCGTAGAAACATGTGCCCCAGGGGCCCTACAGCATATCTTCTTTACCACGTGCTTTTGCCTCTGGTGCCAGGAAGATCGCAGCCAAGTCCACACCCCCCCAGTAGCCGTAAAGATTCTTTTATCTACCAGGACACAGGACAACTACTACCTGGGTTGCTCTCTTTCCCAGGCCTAGTCATTATCTCTCAAGTTCTCAGAGACATATATAACAACCAACCACAGCAACC